TCTCTCTCTCTCTCTCTCTCTCTCTCTCGTAACAGGTACTGACCTGCGAAAGGTGGCACCTTGATGCAGGTACGGACGTGCTGAAGACGAAGCTGGAGCGATGGCCACGCAGGTAAGTCTCAGGTGAGTCCCCTTGCCTCCACCACCATCTCTCCCTCCCTGCACTATTCTAAACTCTATCAGCGCCAGTGCTGGAAGACTAGTCCTATTGTCGACTACTACTGTACTGCCGTCGTCCGAAGAATGCCTCTACGCAATCCTCTACTGAATGACTGGCTGAGGTTGTACCCAGCTATATACAGCGCTGGGTCGGCCTCAGCTGCTGAGTCCTGGCGCCCAAACTGAGGCTGGGCCTCGAAAGTTTGGCGCCCAAACTGAGGCTGAGCCTCAATGCCAGGCGCCTACTGAAACGACGCGGCCTCTGCCTCAGGGTCTGGTGCCAAAATGCGCGCCAGGGCCTGTGTCCGAAATGATGCCTACAGGGCTTCTAACTGGTACCGGTCGGCCAAACCTAACCTACAGACCCTATGGGACCTAATGCGGGCCGAAACGACACAGACCTAACTCTACTGACCCCTAGCCTACCTGGACGTGCCCTGCTGCGCCCGTGTGGAACTGAGTATGCCACACTAGTCTGGCTAGGATACCTGGCTCTCACCCAGGCGACCCGGGTTCGAGTCCCAGCGATGTTCGTTGTGGTCTAGTCTGGTTAGGATAGCTGGCTCTCACGCAAGCGACCCAGGTTCGAATCCCCACGAGGAAAGGGGAATGGGGGCACTGGTGTGGTCTAGTGGTAGGATAACACCCTGCCACGGTGCAGACCCGGGTTCGATTCCTGGCCAGTGCAAGAGCCCCTCTTTTAGCCGCGGGCTAAATGTTGCAAGAGCCACTATTTTAGCCAGGCTGATTCTTTCGAATTGGGGATCAGAAATAAGTTGTGTAGGCCCCAGCAAGCCCACAAAACTATCGGCACTGGTGGTCTAGTGGTAGAATAGCACCCTGCCACGGTGCAGACCCGGGTTCGATTCCCGGCCAGTGCAGAGTTGCCCTTTTACTATAGGACGATCCCATTGGGTCAAGGGGATGAATCATGGACAAGAAATCAGGCAGTTGTAGACTACAACAACATACCCATACCCGTGCTTTGAAACTCGCGCAGCTCTCTGGTAGTTGGATGTGTAATACACTTCAGAACTGCCATTGGATTATAGGTGCCTTATTTTGCTTCACCGAATGACCACAAAAGCACGGCACACTGTGGTTACACATCAAGCTCAGCTGCGACATCCTCCATTGCAGAACAACAACAAGCCAACTATCACCTCCTCTCCCCCATGGACCCTCTCTTCCACCACAGTATAGTTATGTGAGAAAACATGACTCTCCCTCCCATCCACAAGACCCAGGTTCGAGTCCCGGCAAACCAATGACAAGTATCCACCCACCACTGGTCTGGCCATAAAACGGCACCTTGCATAAATGCAGAACCAGCTTTATATCCCGATCGGGGCAGAAATAGTAAAATACACATTTTATATTCATTATTACAATGATTAATGCTCCCAGGGGATCATTACAATGAGCTATCTCCAGCTGTCCATTTCTGACTCCATGGAATCAATGATCAATGGCAGAGCTCTATCACTTAGTGTCAGTTTACACTGCAACTCACCCTTATACACTTATACACGAAACCCCACAGAAATGCATAGCACCTGACCTTCCTTCTGCTTGGGTGTGAAACTGCTGATTGCACTCACAGTCACCAAAAACTGTTGATCGACCTCACATTCATCAGTTGGTGTTAGTAATCATCACATCACCCAACAGCAACATATGTGCACAAGTCCCCCCTACCCGCCAGGATCTTCCCACAAAGAACCTGAGAAGAACTGAAATTGGCGAAGGCTCAAGGCTCTGTTTCATTATATATGATCAGATTTCCCTTAAATCAACCTCAACTACCGTCTTCACCCGAATAGAATGCCAGGTCATTACGGATGCATCTGGACTGAAAGTTGCCCCAAATACGGCTGTAATGACCGGGCATTCTATTCTGGTGAAGACGGTAGTTGAGGTTGATTTGAGACAATCTCAATCAGCTAATGCAGAAGGCTAATGCAGAAGGCTTCATAACCAGAGTTGTGGTTTAAGTGAATCTTACCCACCATCTCAATCGTAGTTTAGTCTGGTTAGGATAGCTGGCTCTCACCCAGGCGACCGGGGTTCGAGTCCTGGCGGCGGAAGTATGAGCACTGGTGGTCTAGTGGTAGAATAGAACCCTGCCACGGAGCAGACCTGGGTTCGATTCCCGGCCAGCGCACTTGTTCTTTATTATGATTCAGTACATATGATCCGTTGTTCTGTTCTCTCAAGACTTCCCTTCAGAGGCAACCAAACCCTCTCTAACACAGATTGAACAACAGATCAGCTTTCAAACACACCCCTTGATTGCTCTATACAATTGGTTGAGCCACCGCTGATCCTGATGAAATCGGAGGCCACCCTGACCACGGGTAAAGAGGGCCTCTGAAACAGTTGGTTAAACCACCAGTACATTTCCCAGCCATTTTTCTCCGACGCGGCATGCATGCAGCTGCAAGTTTCAGGGGTTGGCCTACCTGGCAAAATGGTTGGTGGAGCCAGCCAAAAGAAGGCCAGCGCCGGTTCGGCTTTTTTTTAGCATGCAGTGTGTTTTCAGGCTCGGCAAGGGAAGGGTCAAAATCACTGGTGGTTTAAACCACCACTCCACCTGATGAAATGAGAGTCCTTCAGAGGTATACACGCTGACTACGGGGGGAAGGGGGCAGCACATTAAATTATGGGTACGGTAACTTTGACGACTCTTTGTGCTACAAGTTTTGATTTTGAAAACTGAAAAAATGAGGGACAGATTGCGCGCTGAATCTGCTGTATCTTTCCGGAAAATAGTAGCGACCTAGGCTACCAGAGCCTGATACCACTTGCCCTGACAGGCAAAAAAAAAAAAAAAAGGTTAAAAATTAAAATTCAATTTGGTAAAATATTCCAGTGTGACCCTGAGACAAAAGTTGCTGCTGAGTTTATTATTCTGCATAGCAGTGATAGCACAGTTTTCTGTCAGATCTGATTGAATCGGGCTTTTTTTTTTTTTTTTTTTTTCTGCAGGGACCTTGCCTGGCCCTTGCCCAGCCGGGTCACCTGGGCCCGGTTGGTAGCCTAGTTAGGAACAGAAAAAGAAGATATTCAAGAGGGCAAACATCAGGAGACAGCCAAGTTACGCATATGTTTGCCTCTATTGACCCAAGGGGCCAAAATCTTTTATAGTTTTGAATCTTTTGATGCTCCAGGTGGGGAAAACCCATAGGTGCTTTACAGTAACTTCAGGAGAAGTGGTTGTTTAAGCCACAAGGTCTAAATCAACCTCAATCAAGACCTCCGTTGTGGTCTAGTCTGATTAGGATAGCTGGCTCTCACCCACGCAACCCGGGTTCGAGTCCCGGTGACGGACGTGCAACACTTGCAGTGTATCGGCAGAATAGCACCCTGCCTGAGCTGCCTCCATCGTTCTTGAGTTTGGTGGCAGAATAACACCCGCTCTCCTTCGTTCTCCCGTTTGGTTAAGGATACCCAGCTACTTGGGTTAAGATACCTGGCTTCCACTAAGCACACCTGGGTTCCCTGGCCCAGGCTCTTTCTGTGGGTGGGTGGGGAGAGGGGGGGAGGGGAGGGGTTGGGTTCATGGGTTTTGCTTCAAATATAGTGGTGGGTTTTGACTCTTGAGCCACCAGTACCTCCTGATGATCTGCTGCTTAGCAAGCCCAGAAGCTGGTGCTGGCAAATTTCACAGAGGCCCCCCAGATATTTTATTGTTCAGCCCTCCACACAATTTGCTTGTACCCATGGCTTGCTCGTTGACCTGCAGATCATCGGGGGCAGAAATGGTCGTTTAAGTGCGTGGACAAACTCGGAAAGGTATGAAATATGGTTCAAATACCCTTAGCAAAAAGGGGTAAAAACTTAAAAAGGGGTAAATTACTAACATATGTGGACAGGTAAAAGAAAAGGTTGCAACGAAGATGCAGATCTTTAAACCACCAGTACGTTTGCCAGGCATTTTTCTCCAAGGCGACTGCATGCAAGCCACAAATTCCGGTGGTCGGTCGCACGAGCAAAATGGCTGGCAGTGCCAGCCAAGACAAAGCCCATGCCAGTTCCTTTTTCTTTTTAAGCCCAGCGGGGTGCAGGGCCCATCAAAAGCGGCTCGGAAGTACTGGTGGTTGAAGTACTAAGCATGAACGTGCATCAGGGCATACTAACACCAGGACTTTCCGGGAGCGATGTACTATAGCAAAAAGGGTGGTCACATATACCCAGGAACATCCATTTGAGTATTGCCTTAGCTGCTACGTGAGAACTTGTGGGGACAGTATGGTAGTGTTGAGTGCTGTCTCATTGAGGGCACATGAAACTAGGAAAGAAAAGGAGATAAAAACGTACTCACACTTGGGACTTTCCAGAAGGAATCTGACCAGAATTAGAGCCAAATTCACTACAGGAGGTCCTCGTATGAGTATGACCTTAGCAAAGAGAGAGAGAAAGCCGTGTGCAATGGGCAACAGCAAAGCGGTTCCAAACCTTTCCAGACAGAACGACACGAACACACACTGGATCTTCCACATCGATTCCTCGACAATGCCCATACTTGAGGGATGCTTCAGTGACTGTCAGCGAACACCTGGGATCCGCTTTCACGTCTTGCAATGTAAAATCCATCTCCGTTAAGTAAAAATAAGGCACCCCAGTTGAGTTGTGAGAAGGCCCATCACTGAAAGATGCAATGTTCCTGCTTTACACACACACACACACACACACACACACACACACACACACACACACACACACACACACACACACACACACACACACACAAG